TATATGCCTCTCTAGTTAAGGCCCTCTTACCATAGAATCCTGACATTTTGTTTGTTTGTTTTTTAATTTATTTTTTATTGAAGAATAATTGCTTTACAGTATTGTTTTGGTTTCTGCCAAAGGATCCTGACATTTAACTTCACCAGGACGCCTTTAAATACCTGAAGTTTTATTCACAGAGTACTGTTGCGTATTTAAAGTTCTCACCAGCACATCCCATGAAGATTAGTGTCTCCTGCCAAATAATGCCGTTAGCATAGTAAAGCTGTCAGAGTGATTGAAATCCACAGTTCAACCTTCATTGGAACTTGTGTTTATTTGAGTAAAGTTCAAATGATCAGCAAAGGACAGGAAATAAATTAGTCATAAAATGAAAGAATTATAGGTTTAAATAATAGAAATGGGTAAACTTTCCCCCAAATAGAAGTATTTTGAGAATGCCTTCTCTCAACTTACTTTTTTTTAGAAAGCAAGAGCAATATTTCTTCTTAGATCATCCATGGGATAAAGATGTTAGAAATCCAACTAGCCAGTTTCTCTCTAATCCACTTAATTATTGCTCCCTTGAAGTTGATGTTGGTTTCTTGTGTTCCCTTTGCTTAGGGTTGATGCATGGTCAGCTGTTCAGTCATGTCCGACTCTTTGTGACCTCCATGGGACTGTAGCCCACCAGGCTTATCAGTCAGTATTTTACCCATGGAAAATCTCTGTTCGTGGGATTTTCCAGGGAAGAATGATGGAGTGGGTTGCCATTTCCTCCTCCAGGGGATCTTCCTGACCCAGGGATCTAACCTGCATCTTTTGCATCTCCCGCATTGAGAGGCGGATTCTTTACCACTAGCACCATACAGGCTCATATTCTGAGCTTTTCTGCCTTCAAATTATATGGTCATAATCACCCAGACTAGGGGTTCTCTTTTCATTCTCCCTAAACTTTAAGCTGAACCCCTGCCTTAAACTACCAGATTTCATTTTTAAAAATCACTCCGTATTACAAGTATTTAAAGATAAGATTTTGACAGGCCACCAAGGTCTAAAGTCCTGACACTAATATGAGATAGTATTATTTCCCATTACCCACAGACCTCTACAAATTTCTTTCCTATCATATTTGTACTTTTCATGGTCTTGCTTCCTAAAATTTTGCCAAATATCCTTCTTTTGAGTGTCGTCAGTCCGAGACTGAGCAGGGAGATGACCAGTCTTGATCAGACAACTTGGAAAATGAGACTTCTCTTGTTTCTTCATTAAAAAAAAAGTTAATAATTTAATTTCTTTTTGGCTGTGCTGGGTTTTCACTGCTGCTCAGGCTCTTCTCTGGCTTTGGTGAGTGGGGGCTGCTCTCCGTTGTGGTACTCGGCCTTCTCATTGCAGTGGGTTCTCTTGCTGCAGAGTGCGGGCTCTAGGTCACCCCGACTTCAGTAGTTGTGGCGTGCAGGCTCAGTAGTTGTTGCTCCTGGGCTCTGGGGCACAGGCGCCATAGTTGTGGCCCTTGGGCTTGTTGACATTGGCATGTGAGACCTTCCTGGATCAGGGATCCAACCTGCGTCTCTTGCATTAGCAGGTGGATTCTTTACCACTGAGCCCGCAGAAGCTCCTTCCCTTATTTCTAGATAAAGTGTATTTCAGCCAGCCACTTTGCTTGGCTACTGGAGAACGCATGTTTAAGGTGGGTGAATAGAACAGTCTCAGTCAAGTTCAACTCTGACCTGAACTTTCAGCTGTCAGAAAGACCCAGTTATTTCTTCATTGGCTAGCGAATTATTAGTTGTTACAGCTGAATTCTTTGTGAAATATCATGTTTTTGCAACCTGGCTGCAAATATTGTGTCTAAATCATATTTTGTTTGTTTCTTCCCTTATTCTTCCTTCTGCAGGATTCCCTCAACCATGTAGTCATAATTATGACTTTACTGTATCTTATTATGCTTCCCCAGACAGTTTTGCCCTTTGATTTTTTTTGCATGGATGAATAGGGGCTTACTGTATGGACTATAGCACTAGTCTTTCAGAGGTTGCTTTTTCAGTTAATTTCTGGTGAGTTGAAGTTAGAAGGATCTCTGTGTCAATTTATCTACTCCCTCAACCCCCAAAGGAAAAGACACTTACTATAACAGCAAATGTGGGCATCGATATTTCTTTTTGTTTTTTAAGCAAGGTGGTTTTTATTTTTATTTATTTTTAAAATTTTGGTTGCTCTGGGTCTTGGTTGCCTCTTCTGGGCTTCTCTTGTTGTGGGGAACGGGCTTAGTTGCCCTGTGGCATGTAGGAGCCTAGTTTTTCAATCAGGAATGGACCCTGCGTTGGAAGTCAGATTCTGAATCACTGGACCACCAGGGAAGTCCCAATATTTCTTTCAACTCATTTCTTTCCTCCTTGGCCCTGTGTCACCTATGGGTAAGCGACCCAGGGCCTCTTCCTATGAGAATGTTATAGTCAGGCAGTGGTTTGAAAAGCATCATAAGACTACCTACTGAAAGTCTTCACACACACACAAGGTTTTTTGTAGGTTTTTTTGGTGTGTGTTTTACCATAATGCCTCTTTGAAAGAATGTTTACACTTTTGGGGGCACCTGGGAGGTAATCTGTCTCTGTCAATCCCCTGTCTATAGCCACATGAGTTCTCTCATATGGGTTCTGCAACAACAGAACTTCTGTTAAAGCTTCTTTTACTTATTTAGGAAAGGTTTTTTTCCTTTTGCAGTCTGAAGGCATTTCTTACTATCAGTATAAAGTGATGTGAACCAAGGAGGTGACATTGGGGACAAGTTTTGTATTATGGCTCCTATATATAGTTGGTGTCGTCATCTATCAATTCCGTGATGACAGCTATAATATCTTATATATCATTGCATCAAATGTCTTGAACATAGTAAGCATTCTAAATTTTTGTTGAAGAATGACAAAAAATTTAGTAAATGAGGGTAAAATAAGGAATAACGAAATAACAGTGTTGATTTAAGGGTAGCTTGTGCAGTATTGTGAAAAAAAGTATTTTAAATCGCATTCAGAGATCAGTGGGTTTTCTAATTATTACATAACCAGATAGGAACTTTCCAGTAAATCACATAGGAAATACTTTTATATGGTCAGGGAGGCAGCTGAGTGATGAGATTTTTCTTTATTATGTGTAGCCACTTGGACTGAAGTCCAATTTTGCTTCATATACAATTACTTATATCATAATAAATTGTTAGATATTTAAAATTTTTAACAAGAATAGCAAAATAATAAGTAAAGACCATGTTATAGAAATACTCATGTCACTCAAACATAAGAACTGCTTTGAGTTTTTCCATATATATTTTTAGGTATGTGTCCTTTATGTAGTACTATAATCAGTATAATTTTTTCTTTTGCTTTTTTCAGCTAACATGATAGTTTTCCATGAAATCATTAAATTTTAATCTTGCACACATGTTATGGGATTATGAGACCTGGCATCTTAGCATGTGTGTAGAGATTTTGCCAACAGAGTTTATAGGCCAAAGATGAGTAAGACTGGCTTTCTTAGGGCAGTACATTAAATACTGTTTGACTGCTTTTTTCCCAGCAGTGTTCTTTTGGGAATCTAGCTTAAATTTGTGGCTAAACAAAAAGAAGATATTTTGCTACACTGGTGAAAGTTTGGTGGTGGGGTATATATTTCTATTTATTAACTATATCATGTCTCAAAATTAGAAAAAAGTAACTAGTTTTAGCAGTTCAGAGGATTTTTTTGTTGTTGATCATGGCCCTTGTATAGAGAATCAAAAAGATGTTACTAAGTGTTTATGAAGTGGTTCTGTTAGAGCAGCACTTGAAGTGTGTGTGTGTTTTTTTATATATATAGTTTAAAGGTGTTTGAAATCTGTCTTTGAGGCTCCTTCAGCTTTTTTTCTTACCCTGTGTGACCTTTGTTAAGACATCTAATTATAACTTAAAAATATAAATAAAAATATTTGATGCTGATTATGATTTTGATGATGGGTAGTTCATGACCTGTAGGGCTACTGTGAAAAATTATGTTGAAGACTTCTATGGCAGTCCAGTGGTTAAGACTCTTAGCTTCTAGTGGAGGGGAAGTGGGTTTGGTCCCTGATTGGAGTACTAAGATCCCATATGCCATGTGGTATAGGCAAAATAAATAAAGAAAAGAAAAGAAAAATTAGTATAAGTTTTGTTGAGCTTTGTAGAACACCGTTTTGGTATGAAATAAAGTTGTCAAAAGGCCCCCATTCTTACCAATAAGCATAGAGAAAGAGCTGGGAACTGGAAACTGACCTGGCAATTTGGGGTTCCCAAGCCTGCTCCCTTCACTCAGGCGTGGGGGTAGCGAGGGGGTCAGTCCCGCCTGGTAGGGAGGCCCTGTCCAGGTCTGGGTGAACTGACTCACCTGACTTCTTTTCTCTGGAGCCTAGCCCTGTGTTGAGCTGGTTTTCTTTTAGATTGAGACAAAGCCTCCAAGCCTTTTTCCCATTGGCAGCCTCCTACATCTGCTTTGAATACTGACAGTAAAAGACTTCTGTTAGTCCACATGCCACAAATCAGTTCTGAATTTAAAAAAATAGATTTCTGTTCTTTTGTGTGCAGGGCAAGGATGGGGGCGGGAATAAGATCTTTCTTTTGTGTCCCTAGTTCAGAAAAAATGGATTATTTCCATTAAAGATGGGGTTTTCATGGAAGAGAGAGATTGGTGTCAGAAGGCTTACAATAGCACAATGTTGTTAATCTACTCGAGCAAATTTAGACTGGTATTGACAGAACAGCCAAGACCACGCCCCTTGGAACCTGTCCAGTTTGAGTATCTTACTTGTTATAGTCATTAAAAGGATAACTGAAAAACTCGGGGTTGGTTGTAAAATTACTGATTTTATTTTTTGTGAGCGGAAGTTCCATGAACTGTTTGTCAGGAAATAGTGGGGGAAAAAAAGTAGCCACACACTTTGAGCTAGTTAGTCACCCCTGAATCCACGAGCATCATCGTTTTGTTAATTTCATCAACATGTTCATTTCTTTCAGCTCCATGTTCATGCATGTCTTTTAACCCGGAAACAAGAAGACTGTCCATAGGTCTAGACAATGGTACAATCTCAGTAAGTACCCATAAATAAGATTTCCAGTTGAAATACTTCCCCTCCTGTGGAGTATTTATATGTGTATTGTGATGAAAATTATTTATTAGTGTTTTTTCTTTTTCAAATTAGCAAATTAATTTTCTTGCTAAGTTAAGTGGAAATTGCAGTGCAGCAAATACTGGTAAGGTGCAAGGAGAGATGTCATCAGTATCAAATGCCAATGAGATCCAGCTTGATATACACGTTCACCTTCACGGTGGTTAGGATAGGGGCATTACAAGGTCATGGGATTCTGGTTCTGGGGGTTGGCAAGAGCAAGCTGTGATACTGGCGGCTTTGATGAGATGGTTGAGCATGGCGCTATATGTGGCCCCACATAAGTGACAGAACATGAGGAAAATGCTCTCCTAGACCTGCGAGTCTGATCTTGACTTTGGTACTGAATGTTGACCTCCTTCTTTCTTTTGGGGTCTTCTTACAGCCCTCTAACATGTGGATAGAATTCTGTTTGTTTGTATAAATTTGGTAAGAAAGCACAGAAGCTAGATTTAGTCTGTTGAGTTGATCCAGATAAACGTTAGACCCTTTGGTTATAGATCTTGAGGGAACTGAAGTGATCAGAGATTAGAATTTCAGGTTTTACGACTTAATCCTCTTTTTACATATTTATTTACAATTAGTATATTAACTGGTGAAATGGCTGATCTGGTAAATTCTCCAGTATTGTTTTTACCCATGGGCAAGAGAGGCCCTGCTTTGGGACCTGGGAACTAGAGGACCCCTCTCTGGCCCGCCTCCCCACAGGATGAAGGATGAGGGGCCAGAGGTTGTGTCCAGCCTCGGCCCTCTCTCCACCCACCCCATACTCTGGGTACTTGATTCTGGAAATTTCCTGCCTCCATAGAGCTTAAGGCTTGCTTCTGGGGCCTCCATGGTCCTTTTCCCTGGATCTGTCCTGAGGAGGATGAAACTAATAACTGTGCCCTTGGCCTGAAGGATGGTTCAGGGGCAGTGGTTTGAGGTGGTAGGAGGTCCGCATGGGTGGGCAAGGCCCCTCAAGGTGTCGTTGAACTGGGAGTGGAAAGGGGCGTGGGCTGGCCCTCTCCTGTCGCACGCTGTCCCGGGGAACTTCAGAGGGTCTAAAAGTTCTGACTTTATACCTGTGCCTCCAGGTGGTTGAAGGTATATTTGTCTAGATTGGAGGAAGAGACCATGTCTAATAGTTTAACTTGACTTACAACTTTTAATATATTTAGGTACATGGAATGTGGGTCTTCCTTTCTAGTCTTGACCCATCCCGCTTTGGAGTCTGAAGACGAGAGCCTGACATTTGCTATTTGATCTATAGTGAAAACACTTGTTGGGTGATCTTTATGGATATTTTAACAATATTTTAACAATATTGTTACACATAACGGTCAGTCCTTTGACAAATATTTACAGAAGTCCTGTAAGATCTAATGCATTTGGGAGATCTGTAGACCCTGTTTCTTAGGATGGAAGTGAAGGTCATGATACAGATTGTCGTCTTTTTTTAAGGAGAGCCATTTTTAACAAGTGTGGTGTGTGCAGTATAAATTTACTTTTAAAAGGCAAGGAGAGATAATTGGATTGTTCAGTGAGCTGAAGTTTCATCACAAAAGAAAATCTCAAAAGATGAGCTGAGATCCATTTATTGCCGGTAGTTCATGAAATAGTATGTGTGACACTATCTGTGAAAAACCTTCTCTGTGTGTATAGCATATCAGTGATTCTTTGCATTTTGTGAAATCAGTATTGGGGATTAATGGGTGCTGATAAATTTGGCCTTGAAGGCAAGACAGGTGAGCAAAGTAAGTTCTGGAGCGTTCTGGCTATTTGTTGTATCATTATTCCTTTAGTAAATGAAATTGCCAGAAAACTGGATCATAGTGAGGAACTGGACTAAAATGGTTCTCTAGGTGTGTCAGCTTGGTGTTAAGATACCAAATCTTATCTTACTTGATCTTCTAAAAAAGATTAAGACTCCGGCTTGAATGAAATAATTTCCTTAAAATTCTCTCTTGTATATTGCTGAAGAGGATGAATTATATACCCTACCTGTTTTCATCTGAAGAATTGTAAAGAGCTCTGCATTAGGGATCAATATAGTGAGAGAACAAGGTGTTTAACATTCAGAATTTTCATTGATCACTACAATATGAGGTTCTTCACTAAAAATGCTTACAGAATCTCACCTATTGAATAATTTACTTGCCGGACATGAGAAATTCTTTTCAGAGACCATAAATTTTCTGTTTCCTAAATATACCAAATATATTTTAGAAGAAATACAATTGGTTCACTTGCTTTAACACACAGAAAGTAAATCCTTATTTCACTTTATTTTGCTGCATAAAAGAGATTGAAGAGGCAGTTAACCTTGTGTAACTGAGCAGTGTATTAAAAATGAAATAGAGGCCTTCCCTGGTGGCTCAGTGGTAAAGAATCTGCCTGCTAATATAGGGGGAGACACAGATTTGCTCCCTGAGCCAGGAAAATCCCACACGCTGCAGGGCAGCTACGCCTCTGAGCCACAACTATTGAGCCAGTGCTTCGGAGGCAGGGAGCGCGACTACTGAAGCCCGCATGCCCTGGAGCCTGTGCCCCGCAGCAAGAGCAGCCACCTCGGTGAGAAGCCTGCACCCGTGTCTAGAGAGCAGCTCCCACTCAGCGCAGCTGGAGAGGAGCCCGAGCAGCGACAAAGACGGAGCACAGCCAAAACTAAGCAAACACAGTTAAAGAAAATGAAGTAGCGGTGACACAAATAGAGACCGTTCTTTCAAAAGTTTAGCCACAAAAGGAGAGGGTAAGAGAGAGGGTGAGTGCTACAACAAGATGTGATAGTAGATGAGCACCTAGAGGGTCCAGAACAATTTGGAGAATTTAGGTTTAGGGAAGAGTGGGGAGACTTTTAATTTTTAAGGTAGGGAAAGACGAGGCCGTTTTGGGATATAAGAGAGGAATGACCTTTTATTTTTCTCTTGAAGTAGCAAGTTAGATCACCTACTGAGAGAAGCAAAACTGAAGGTAGTTTATTTTCATGTCCATAGCTTTTGTTCTTTCCGATCATGTGGCCCAGACCTCCTTCCGCCATCTTGGTCTACAGTCCCAGTTATCTCTCAAGGTTTGTTCAAATGTTGTCTTTTCTCTCTTTATTTTTTTCCTTTTTTCTTGGACAAGTGGTTCCTGAGGCCACCCAATTAAAATTTATCACACACAATACTCGCTAGGTTAGTTATATCATACGGCTTTTTTAACCTGTTTTGTGAAAAGTTTTCAAGTCTGTCTCCTCCATTAAAGTGTTAGCTAAGGAACCGGCCAGTCTTTTATCCATCTCTCCCATTGGATCTTAGCTAGTGTGATTCTTTGTAGTACAAATTAGGGACTTGGTGAATCATTTGTTAAGTAAGTTGTTGACTAAGTATATATAGTATATATTAATATAGCTGGTTGTAATAAGTACCTGCTTAAATTCTGAGATATTTATTTGTAACAGTTCTCTTGCTATTCAAAATGATTTTCACAATGAAACTAACTTCTACAGTGGAAGAAGTTATGCCAGTAATTTAATTCGTCCTGCATTTGAGTTTTCAGAAATGCCTTCTGTTTTAATGTTGAAAGAAGTCAGTCAGATTGTGCTAACGGCTATTCATGATGAAGTAGGACTTTAAAATTTTTTTCTGTCATGATGCCTTATGTATTCTAGTCAGCCAACAAATATGTAAATATCAACTGTATGCAAACCGTTCTGCTCAGCTCTAACATGTGGCTTCTGATGTCAAAGAGCTTGTTCAGCTTGGGACAGAATGAAAAGTGAACTTATGAAATAAATATTAATAACACAAAGTTAAAAAAAATAGAGCAGGATTTACACTGGTAAATGTGATGTTGGCAAGCCAGTGAGGTCAGAAGAAAGTAGTGGAGAACGGTCTGGGGTGGCTCCATGGAGACTGATAAAGATAGGAAGGAAAAGGTATTTTAGGCACAATGAATGGCAGGAGGGGGAAAAACTCATGCTCATCTTTATATTTCCCTTCTTCATGCAAACTGTTAGGGAGGGAGTTCCATGGTAATCCAGTGGTTAGGAATCCTGCCAATGCAGGGGAAATGAGTTCGATCCCTGATCTGGGAAGATTCCACATGCCTCAGGGCAACTAAGCCTGAGCACCCTTGAGCTATGCTCTGAACCAAGAGAGGCCATCACAAAGAGAAGACAGAGCACTGCAATTAGAGAGTAGCCCTGATTGCCACAACTAGAAAAAGCCTGTGCGCAGCAAGGAAGACCCAGTGCAGCCAAATAAATAGATAAACCAACGACAGAAAAAACTTAAAAAAAAAAAACCCAAAACTGTTAGGGAGCCAAAAGTTTTATTAAAATCTTGCCAAGATAAATAGTCACTGGAAAGTTTTTGAACAAGGCCCCAAGTTTATAAAATCTCTGTTCTTTGAAGATTAATTTCATATATGTGTTATAGGAAGTTTGATTGTGATGAGAGGAAGGGATTGCTCTGTATAGTGGTGAGCATTCAGAATAGAGGTTATTGTATAAAAATAAGTGAAATTGACCATGTATGGATTTGATGCTACCGTTTTGGTAGTTCTTGTGGTTATTATAGTCCAAATTCATATCATTTGTCCAAGGGAATGAAAAAGGAAAGACAATAAACCTTTATTGAGCATTACTGCATACCAGGCACTCTGCGTGTTGCATGTTCAGTCGTGTCTGACTCTTTGAGACCCTTTGGACTGTAACCCGCCAGGCTTCTCTGTCTGTAGGGTTTTTCAGGCAAGAATTCTGGAGTGGATTGCCGTTTCCTCCTCAAGGGGATCTTTCCAACCCAGGAATGGAACCTCACTGCCTGGATAGCAGGCACACTGTTTACCTGCTAAGCCACTGGGGAAGCCCCATCAGGCACTCTGCATTACGTGTATTCCCTCATTCCAGCTTCAAAGTAATTCTATGATGTAGGTAATATTACTCACATTTTCCGGATAAG